CCCGGTTGCCCCTCTTCCAGGCCAGCTCTCTGCTGTGGTCCGGGAGTGCACTGGGGGATGGCCCAGGTCCTTGGGCCCTGCACCCACATGGGAGACCAGGAGGAAGCACCTGGCTCCTGGCTTTGGATCGGCGCAACGTGCCGTCCATAGCGACCACTTTGGGGTGAACCAACAGAAAAAGGAAGACCTTTCTCTCTGTCTCTCTCTCACTATCTAACTCTGCCTGTCAAAAAAAAAAAAAAAAAAAAAAAAAAAAAAAAAAAAAACTAATAGAGGGGTCAGGCCAGGTGTTGGACCTAGTCATTAAGAAGGCTGTTAGAATGTGCATATCCATCCTCCAACAATCTCGGTTCAATCCCTAACTCCAGCTCCTGATTCCAACTTCTTGCAATGCAGACTCTGGAAGACAGTTGTAATGCTCTCTTTGGGAGATGCTCAACTGAGTTCTTAGCACCCAGCTTTGGTCACCCAGGTGTTGTGGACATTTGGGGAGTCAACTAGCAATGGGAATTTCTCACACACTCTCTGACTTACAAATAAATAGATACAGAGCAGAGGGGCTGCAAAGTCAGGAACCCAGAACTCTCCTGTTGTTTATCGTCCCTAGGTTTTCTCTACTGTGGCAGGTTGTACGCACTACCCAAAGATGGCCTCAAAAGTGTCTCTCAGCCTATGTCCTTTGCACTGTGACCTTGTCACTCCCACACCAAACAGTGGTGTGTTTACTTTGTACCCCTTTTGATCTAAGCAAGGCTTCCAGGACTGCTTAGTCCAATAGAATATGGCACAAGTGGCCTGGGCAAGTGTGGGTTGATCCCTTACTTGACCTGCCAATTCCTTCTCCCTGTATCCTAGAAATCAGTTGTCATACAGAAATGCTGCTACTGTGAACGATCATAGGATGTAAAGGCCACATCACATGGGGAGACCCTGCAGGATCAGATGCCACTTAGAGAGGGCAGAAGAGGCCAAGAGCTACTGAGGCATCAGACACATCAGCGAAGAAGCCATCCCAGATAACAAGCCCAGTTGAGCCTCCAGATGAGTCCAATCCACCAAGAGAAGCTTGAGAAATAACAATTTGTTGTTTTGCTCCTACATTTTCAAGTGGTTTGGTAGATAGCAACAGATACCTGGAAGAACTGCTCTCTCTTACAACAACTCTTTCTCCAAAGTCTCGGCTATGGGACCATGATCTTGCTTCTCTACATTCTCCTGGTACTTTTCTTCTGTGCGCGTGTGTGTGGTGTTGGGAGTGAGGGGTGTTATTTATATAACACATAGTCAGTTATTCTATTGGGGAATAAAGTGTGAGAAACTCTTGGAGTTGACATTCTACACAGTGACTGAAAACATGAATTTGTTAACAATAATATCTGATACAAGTATTTTAAAATGTTTCTTTATAATTCTAGTCTCCAAGCTCTGAGCCATACTTCATTATACTGCCTTCAAATCTTTTCTTTCTAAAATTTTTAAAAATATATATTTATTTTGTTTATTTGAAAGGCAGGGAGAGAGAAAAATCTCCCATCCAGTGGTTTACTCCCCAAATACCTCTAAGAGCCAGCACTGGGCCATGCCCTACCCAGGAGCTGAGAACTCCTTCCTGGTTTCCCATTTGGGTAGTAGGGACCCAACCACTTGAGTCATCACCTGCTACCTCCCAAATACACATTAGCAGGGTATTGGAGTCAGAAGCAGACCTGGGGTTTGAACCCAGGCACTTCAATCTGGGATGCAGTTGTCCTGAGGCATCTTAACCACTATGCCAAACTCCCAACCCAGAACTATCTTTAAAAAGCATTTCATTTTGGAGAAACTGAAGTTCAAACATTTTATAATTAAATCAAGTTATAGAACTACTGTCTTATAGGTGTGAAGCAGGGAAAGAAGAAAAACATTGGCTACCAACTATATTCACTTATTTGATTCTCTTTTAACTTCTGTGGGGGAAGGCACTATACAACACCTGTTTCCTCAACTAGAACTACACATCAAAGAATTTAAAAGATTTATCGACATCTCTCAGAAAATAAACTGGCCCTAAGATAATGCACTTCCTCTTGCACTACCCTGAGATCCCGGAATTACATTTACCCCATGTTCACCTTGATGCCCTCAGTCCACACACGGGTCGTGTGTTACAGGTGTCTTTTATAATCTGATTACTAATGCTGCCCTCGACTCTGCCTCTAGTCTAATCTAGGTGTCTGTCCACCCCCTCAAGTCCTAGAGTGTAAGAGAAGCTGGAGCCTTTCTATGAGAGATCTTCAAAAGATTCATGGAAAATGCGTGAATTTCAAAGTTTTTAAACCAAACTAAACATGTATTTTTAAGAGGTGCTGCCATAGAAGATGGATTTTTTTAATGTTTATTTATTTTTATTTACTTGAGAGAGAGAGAGAGAGAGAGAGAGAGAATGCTCCCATGTGCTAGTTTACTTCTTAAATGCCTGCAACAGCCAGAGCTGGGTCAGACCAAAGTCAGGAGCCAAGAACTCCATTTGGGTTTTCCCCAAAGTATTTAGGGAACCAAGTACTTGGGCCATCCTCTTCTGCCTCCCAGGTGCCTCAGCAGAAAGCTGAATTGGAAGCAGAATAGCCAGGACTTGAGCCAGATACTCCAATATGGGAAGAGTGTGTCCCTAGCAGCAGTTTAACCCATGTGCCACAACAGCTGTCCTTAAACTTATCTTTTTAATTCCATTTTTCCACTAACTTTTGAAGTACCTCCATGTATTGTTATCTCTGACTCTGCGAAACCAAGAAACCACTGGATCACTTTGTGAAACATTACAACAATACAGCTGTAATGATGTAAAGCACCCAAATTGGAACATCCCCCGATCACAGTTGACAGTAAAATACTCTGTGAGAAATGGAAGCTCAGGTGTGGAAATTTGGCCTAGCAGTTAAGCAACCAGTTGGGATGCCAGCATCTCATGTCAGAGTGCCTGGGTTTGAGTCTCTGTGCTTTGCTGATTCCAGCTTCCTGCTGGCAGGTACCTTGGGAGGCAGCAGGTGATGGCTCAAGTACTTAGGTCCTTGCCATCCATGTGGGAGGCTTGGGTTGAGTTCCTGGCTCCTGGCTGCTGCCTAGCTCAGCCTGGTCATTGGAGGCTTCTGAAAGGTGGAACAGTGGATGGCATCTTTCTCCCTCCCTCCCTTCTTCCCTCCCTCCCTCCATCCTCCCCTCGCTCCCTCCCCCTTACTCACCCCATCACTCAAATAAGCTTCTTAAAAATTTATTTGCATGGAAGTTTGGTGCTATAGGCTGCAATGTTATCAATAGAAATACTAATGAATTCCTATAAACTTTCTCTTTATGAAAGCAGGTTAGCTTGATTTGCTTTTGAACAAGGTGCACATTACCTTCAGATTTTGCCATTTCTGTTTCCCAGCTCTTATTTTGTTTTGCATGTAAAATTTGAGTCCCACATTAAAAAACAATGTACAATGAAACTGAGAGTCTGTTCTGGAACACACTCAATTGCTTTTCTCACACTTTTCACATGCTACCTTTTTCAGCAGGAAATGGTAAGAAATATGACTCATTCAAAATTTCAATGACTCTATTACTGCAAAAAATCATAAACCAAAGAAATCTAATGTTTAAATTGAAATAAAAACACATAAACCTTCTCACATTTTTGTCTTTTTTAAATAATTCAAGGCTCTAGCAATGCAATTTATGTGACTAAAATTTTGAATAATTGAATTGGTGTCATAGTAATTATTTAAAATATGTCTTGAGAAACCTAAAAAGATCCCTGTTTTAATGCAAAATATGTTATTTTTGAGTAGTAAAATGATGGAGAGATTATGACAAAAATATCCAGTGGGGATGAAATAGAGCTCTTCATTCCCAAGGGAGCCACACAGGCTCAGCCCCTAATTCTTCACATGAACCCAAATCCTGTTCCTTAGCATGAGTAAAGAGCGACAAAGAACACTTTTGCTTTCTAATCTCAATTTCCCAATTAGCCACAATTTCAACTAGCAGTAATGCAAATAAAACTACTGATGTCTGTTGGTATCTGCAAGAGATTGGTTCCAAGGCCCACACCAAGTACCAAAATTCTCAACTGTTCAAGTTCCTTAACGAAATGGTATAGAATGCTTTGTCTTCCCTATATTACTTATAATACACAGTAAGTGTACATACCATGTAAACAGTGCTGGACTATATTACACAGGGAGTAAATGGCAAGGAAAAATGTGCACATTCAGCACAATTCTTTTCTTTCTTTTTTTTTTTTAATCTCTCGTTGGTTAAATCTGAGGATAGAGAATCCATGGATACAGAACACTAACTTCAAGTTTAACTGGAGAAAATATTTCCAGAAACTCCTTGGAGCTACCCAATCAGACACAGGCAAGTAATTTATCACGGCAGGGCCTTCTATAATAGTTTGAGAAATAATACCACTTCATTTTTGCAGCCTTTTATGAAAGAAGAAAATGGAAACACTGATGTCCAAGAAATCCCAGTGTTATTATTCAAGTCTGCATGGGAACTTCAGTTCAAAAGATAACCAGAAATTACAGTCATTCCCTGAACAAATGAGTGCTTTATCACTGGCCAGCTTCAAGATACAGTTATATATCACTTAAAAACGGTTACTGAAACAATATCAGCAACTTACATAATACCTGCTTGCCCTCTGCCTGGCTCCTGGAAGCCACTCAAAAGAATGCCTTTCAAATGACATCCAATAATTCTTGAGGAAAATTTTTAGCTACTGACAGGCACTCAGGCATCTCGGCAGGAGACGTTTGGTTTCTGGCTTCTGTTAGATAACATCTTAGCCCATGAGCACAGACCACAGTTTTGCAGACTTCCTCCCCATTCAATCGTAAGTGCTGACAAGAGAATGAGTAAATGGCTATCTAACTCTCTTCTTACTAAGGTTTGTGCACAGACTCTGAAGTCTCCCTGATAGGCTCAAATATTTTACCCCTCAACTAAAACCCCCCAAATTAGTTCATTCACATTACCTTTCTCAGAACTTTCTGCAGGATGTGCCCAGGGCAGATGACTGTGGGTCTGAAGAGAGATTTTAGTTTCGTCTCGTGATTTCTCAGTAACTGTGGTTAACTAAGTCCTCACCTGTCTTTTATACCAGCAAAGTAATACAAACTGCATGTTCCCACCTGCATCTAAGCCTAGGGATCAACATCAAATTCCACCCATTGATTGAATGGTACTTGGTGTAATTACTATGACATCAATTTGATATTATCTTGTTTCAACCCTTAGATCATTTTTGTTTTGAGTCATTTTCAGGCAGTGCTGGCTACAAGGTCAGCTTATGAAAAGAGACTATGCTGTCATTTTCTACGTAATTTTATTGAGAATTACAGACAACATCCTGAAAGCTGACACTTTCCTATAAACAAGACTTTAAGAGTATCACATTTAATTAGCTAAGTACCTGATGTTTACTTAAAACAGAAGAGCTATAAATTTAAGATAATAGAGTCCATTTCCAGGCTTACAAAATTATTCCAGTAGGAAACAGAAAAATAAAACACATAATACCTATTTACACTTGTCTAAAATTAATATGTGCCTCTGCATTTAATAAACATGCATGCAAAGGGTATGAGGCAGTTCTCAGAAGAACTGAAGTGTTTTTCATATATGTGCCTGTTTTTTCTCATTCACTTTTGTTAAAACAGGAAATACATATATCATGACCTGTCAGTTGAGAATCCAAAGTTCCCAGCCCAGTATCTCCCTAAAACCTATAAACTCCTCAGACTATGGCTGAAGCTATTTTTTTCAACACAAAGATTGCAGTTTTCAAAGATCCCTAAATCCATCTCCTGTGCCCAGATTTCCCCAGTGTAAAGCTGAGAAGATCCACATGATGCAAAACCCAACTCTCGCTAAACAAAAAAGGAATCTTCAAAAAGTTCATGAAAAATGGATATTATGAAAAAACTATGCATGGATTTCAAAAAATTTTTGCACCAGAATGAACTTAACTTTAAAATACATTCATTTTGGGCTAGCACTGTGGCATAGTGGGCTAAACCTATGCCTGCAGCACTGGCATCCCATATGGGCACTGGTGTTCCAGCTGCTCCTCTTCTGATCCAGCTCTCTGCTAATGGCCTGGGAAAGCAGTGGAAAATGGCCCAAGTTCATGTGCCCCTGCACCCATGTGGGAGACCTGGAAGAAGTTCCTGACTCCTGGCTTCAGATCAGCCCATCCCAACCATTGCAGCCATTTGAGGAGTGAACCCGCAGATGGAAGACCTTTCTCTCTGTCTCTTCCTCTTTCTGTCTGTAACTCAACTGTACCTCTCAAATAAATAAATAATTTTAAAAAAAAATACATTCATTCATTTATTCTTTAATTGTCTTGGTTTTAAATGAAAAATAGATAAAAATCTTCTGCTGATTCATCCCCCAAATGACTGCAGTAGCCAGGGTTGGGCCAGGTCAAAGTCAGCAGCCTAGAATTCAATCTGGGTCTCCCACATGGGTGGCAGGGACCCAAGTACTTGAACCATCACCTGCTGACTCCCAGGATCTATACTAACAGGGAGATGAATCAGAAGCAGATGCCAGTCTTGAATCAGGAACTCTGATATGGGATGTGTGCATTCCAAGTGGAGACTTAAATGTTGTGCCACATGCTCACCCTAAATTTATCATTTAATCCCATTTTCCCATGAACTTTGTGTAGTACCCTTATGAAGCAACTAACCAAAGAAAGCAAAGTTGTTCTGTGATTTATTCTTTGGGATTAATTGATTTGTTTCAGTCTTACAGCTTACAGCTTTTCAAATTCTTTCCATTATCTGCTCTGAGTATCCACCTAAATCATTCACCTTTTCCTAGTGACAATTCTGTATCCATTATTCAAGAATTTCTATCATTCAAATCCTGAAGAATTGCCAGTATATTTTCTTTTTTAAAAGATTTATTTATTTATTTGTTTATTTATTTGAAAGGCAGAGTTTCAAAGAGGCAGAGAGAGAGAGAGAGATGTCTTCCATCTGCTGGTTCACTCCCCAGATGGCTGCAACAGCCAGAGCTGAGCTGATCTGAAGCCAGGTGCTTCTTCCGGGTCTCCCACATGGGTGCAGGGGCCCAAGGACTTGAACCATCTTCTACTGCTTTCCCAGGCTATAGCAGAGAGCTGGATCTGAAATGGAGCAGCTCGGACTTGAACCAGTACCCATATGGGATGCCAGAACGACAGGCAGTGGCTTTTACCCGCTATGCCACAGCATCTGCCCCATGTGTTTTCAACATTGCAGACTCCTAAAGGGCTTGAACGGTTCTGCTGCTTTCCCAGACCATTAGTCAGGAGCTGGATTGGAAGTGTAGCCGCCAGTATACAACCAGCGCCCATACGGGACGTTGCTGTTGCACGAGGCAGTTTTACTTGCTACAGCACAATGCCAGGCCCTTTTATAGACACTTCTATCCCAGCCTGAAAATTCTCTCCCCTCCACTCTGAATGATGACATGGTTGGCGAGTAAAGGATACAAACACCACTCCTCACCCCCTTGACAGTCACCTTAGAGATTAAAATTCAGTAGCCATTACCAAGAAGGTTGACTGGCTGAAGACACTGGGATGACTCAGGACAACCTGCCGTTTTTACTAGGTTAGTCCTGGAAACACATACAGAGTTCCTACACGGTAGGAACTTCACAAACACTAACAGTACCTTACACTGAAGTATTTTCCTTCAGGTTATGCTAAACGTGTGTATTTGTCCTAATAAAGTTTTGTCATGCACACACTGAATCTTTTTATTTTTTGAGATTTAAAAAGATTTAATAGAGTCAAAGACCTCCAGCCAGAGCAGCATAGAGGGGGGCTTCCAAGAGAGGAAAGAACCCAAAGGACCCCATGGCACTAGGGTTTTTAAGTACAATTTCAAAGGAAAAAAAAAAAAAAACTTGACAATCACATTGCCATTCAGTTACCAGGCAGGGACAAAATCCATCAAAAAACCTGATTTACGATACTTTATCCTATCTGGCCTGCTCACGATAAAACAAAAAACCATCCAGAAGGGTGCAATAGGTAACTTGTTTTCACAATAATCTGAGTTCAGATGCGATCACCACTCCTTTGCTATTCTCAGGGTAAATTTGGAGATTCCGGAGGAGGGGGGATATTTTGTTCTTACTAACGATAATGTTCTTTTGGGGAAGGAAGCAAATATTTTACACCCCAAATTCTATTAGTACTACCCTGACTACCTATTAGCCCATCTGACTCCTCACATCTCCCTCTTACCACGATTGCACCCTAACATCTTTTAGGGGGGACTGGATGATGATCGCTCTGGTTGCTTCATGCTGAAAAGGGGCGTCTTTAGGAAGGGGAGTCAAGACTGGGTTGCAGCAGGAGGTGGCTTCTCCAGGGGGATGCAGTGCCAGCTTGCAAAAACTGTTTCCATAGGAGATTTCACATGCATGGCCACCTAGAATTTTACTTTTTCAAGTCAGGAGAAAACGAATCTAACAAGCAGTTTAAACTCATAGGTTCTAAAATCATAGGATCTAAAATGGAGGACAGAGTCATTCTTGGAGGCCCTAAGAAAGGTGTCTAAACCATGAGCAAGTTTTTTCATTGAGAGGCAACTAGAAACTGACAAGGCTTGAAAATAATCAGGTGGGCTTTAAGGCCTTGCCAGTTATGAGGCTCAGACCTATCTATCTGTTTACATGGGGTACATCATAAGGGAGGCACCCTGTTGACTTTCATTACCTAGCTGGCCTGGGAGGAAAGCTGGCTTGAAGAGAAGCAAGGTGGCATTTCTAAAAGAAAAACATTTTTAGTTAACATACAGTTCTGCCCACAATGTTATTGATCCTACTTGGCCATCCTCATGACAGCAGTGGATACTTCGAAGCCGGGCCGAGTGAAGAGCTTTTCAGCTTAGAGCGAACAAGGTCTGTGGCTCTGACCTGGAGCCCTAGACTCCAGGGCAGGTCCGTTTCCAGTGACCAACTCTTGGCTGGCATCGTTGCCAGGGCTCTTTCTGCTGAAGCCCTGGCTTTCCAAATCAAAAACCAATGCAGTGGACCGGACTGTTGGGTCTCCCTAATGGCAGATCACTGTGTAAAGCAGCCATTAACTGGCCTACCACCTGTCTTTTCATTGCTTCTGCAGCCTAGCTTCCTCTTCCTCCTGGTTTTTGTTAAAACAGACCAGCAGAAACCTTTAAGAGAATGCAAGTCAAGGGGGTGCTCAGTCCCTAATATTTGGTGACCTAAACTAGAAATCTGTAGTTACAGGCATATTCTGAAAGTGGTTTTTCATTGAGGTAGACAATGCCCATGAGAAAAGCTATGTCAAAATGATGACCACTTTATTTATAAAATTTTAAGTTATTAGTAAAACTCTCTCCCTTTGTTTGGTTTAAAAAAATAAAAGGAGGTTTTGCCTGTTTACTGTTCTCATGGCACAGTAATCTAGCTGTGGAATCATAATTTAAGCTCTCATTTTGGCTATGTTATTATTAAGGAAAAATGTTAGCCATCCCTTTTATAAGATCTAAAAATCAAACTGTACATCTTGGAGAGTCCTTCAGTATGGAGTCAGTTTCCCACCTCGAAGAGAATAGAGAAATGAGGGAACAAGTCAGGCTTAGAATAGAGAAACGAGGGAGCAAGTCAATAGCAAGACAATAGCAATATCAAATAAAAACTTAGCAAGCAATTTCAACCGTTAAATAACAACTTATGAAAATATTTATTGGAAGGTCCAATGCCTCCTATAAATCTTAAGAACACATGTATTCGGAAACATCTCAAATATCTAACATGGTCTAGCTTGTTTAATCAGCAAACTCAAGCACAAACATTTAAAAACATTTTTAGTTTCTTTCTACCAACAAATTTAAAACATGAATCTTTTAAAGCAACCACCTTTGCAAATGTTTCATATGCTTTCTTGTTTTGTTAAACAAAATTTGATCTTTCTAATAGCAAAGCATGATTGTCACAAGCATTATGCTGTAATCAGTATAGCTGAGGTACATAAATCTTGACTTTTTCAAGTACATTTTTCTTGAGTAATTCAATAGTACATTACACAATTATAAATTTTCAATCAGTATGTCTTCCTCCTACTTCAAAA